CACACACACACATGTATGTGTAAATATGTATATATGTATGTATGTATGTATGTATGTATGTATGATGTATGTATGTATGTATGTAATATGTAATGTATGTATGATGTATGTATATATATATATATATATATATATATATATATATATATATATATATATATATATATATATATATATATATATATATATATATATTATATAATACATACACACAAAGAAACAATGATAATAACGAATAAAGCCTATTGACACACAATATAGACAGACCCCCCTCCCCCTCCCCCCTCCTCCCACGCCTCTCACACGAGCCTTTCAACACAAAACACACACGAACACACACCTGCGCCACCACCTGCGTCCCTTCCTCCCTTCTTCCCCTTCTCCTCTTACTTTCTAAATGTCACCATGACGGAAGGAGGAGGAGGAGGAGGAGGAGGAGGAGGGGAGGAGGGAGGAGGAGGAGGAGGAGGAGGAGAGAGAGAGAGGAAGGAGGAGGAGAGAGATGGAGAGAGAGAGAGAGAGAGAGAGAGAGAGAGAGAGAGAGAGAGAGAGAGAGAGAGAGAGAGAGAGAGAGAGAGAGAGAGAGAGAGAGAGAGAGAGAGAGAGAGAGAGAGGAGGTGCGGATAGAAGCGGAAAGGAGAAAAAAAAAACGGAAGAGGAAAGGATCTTGAAAATATAAAAAAAAGAGACGGAACAATAATAATAATAACAATCTGAAGAAAATGAAAAAAAACACGTGAAAGAAAGAAAGAAAGAAAGAAAAGAAATAGCAAGCAAAACCAAAAGCCAAAATCAAAAACAAACAAATACAACGCCCACAACCCTCCCCCCCCCCCCTCCACACAAGCAAGCAAGCAAGCACATGACCGCCCACCCCTCGCCCGCTGACCCCAACTGCTGCCTTTGACCCCGAGAGCACCCGCGCCGACGCCCACGAAAGCAAGAACGTCACTGAGGGTTAAATGGTTCCAGGAAATGGGGGAGATGGGCGTAGGACAAAATCGAAGGCGAACACGCGATTTGCGGATTTAGGAGAAAGAGCGATAGAGATAGAGATAGATAGATAGATAGAGATAGAGATAGAGATAGAGATAGGAGATAGATAGAGAGAGAGAGAGAGAGAGAGAGAGAGAGAGAAGAGAGAGAGAGAGAGAGAGAAGAGAGAGAGAGAGAGAGAGAGAGAGAGAGAGAGAGAGAGAGAGAGAGAGAGAGAGAGAGAGAGAGAGAGAGAGAGAGAGAGAGAGAGAGAGAGAGAGAGAGAGAGAGAGAGAGAGAGAGAGAGAGAGAAGAGACGAGAGAGAGAAGACGGAAAAAGAAAAATAGAAAAGAAAAAAAAGGAAAAAGAAAAAAGAGAAAGAGAAAGACAAAAGGCAAAAGAGAGAAAGAGAGAAAGAAAACCGCCGATGATGCACACCGACACCGAAACCACCACCGGAAGCCGCCCGCAGAACAGGCACACATCCCGGTCTCCTTTCATGATCTCGTCGTCCCGTTACGGCCGGCCTATTTAACGAGTGGCGCTGGACTTATCAACGGGACACGCTGGCAATAACAGTGGCAGAGGCGTGCAAAAAATCGAAGCGAAAACCTAGTATACACTGGGGGGGGTAAAAGCAAAAAGGGATATTTCGATGTAGTTTCGCTTAATACACATAAGCCAAAACGCAAAACACACACACACACACACACACACACACACACACACACACACACACACACACACACACACACACCACACAACACCACACACCACACACACACACACACACCACACACACACACACACACACACACACACACACACACACACCAGCAAACATCCATATAAAAAAATAATAATGATAACGTGAATAAAGGGATAAAAGAGACAGACAGGGCGCATATATATAAAGACAGACTGGTTCGATGGAGCCGAGAAGGGACGCTCGGGGGTGAACATCCCGGGGAACAAGCACTACCGGGGCTTTCGGCTGCTCTCTCGGCTCTTTCAAGGAGAGGGAGAGAGAGGGAATGAGAGAATGAGAGAGAATGAGAGAATGAGAGAATGAGAGAATGAGAGAGAGATAGAATGAGAGAATGAGAGAAGAATGAGAGAATGAGAGAAGAATGAGAGAATGAGAGAGAGAGAGAGAGAGAGATGAGAGAGAGAGAGAGAGAGAGAGAGAGAGAGAGAGAGAGAGAGAGAGAGAGAGAGAGAGAGAGAGAGAGAGAGAGAGAGAGAGAGAGAGAGTATGTGTATAGTGTGAGTGTGTGTGTGTGTGTGTGTGTGTGTGTGTGTGTGTGTGTGTGTGTGTGTGTGTGTGTGTGTGTGTGTGTGTGTGTGTGTGTGTGTGTGTGTGCTGTGTATGTGTGTGTGTGTGTGTGTGTGTGTGTGTGTGTGTGTGTAAGCAGAATACACATATATAATGTATACAGACAGGATAGACCGATAGACAAACAGACAAGACAGAGGAAGAAAGGGATGAAAGAGATATCACAAAAGAAAAAAAAAGGAATGGAA